AGCCCCCCCCCCTCCCCCCGTGCCATGCTCTGTTCGCGACGATAAGGTCCCTGCTCTCATGGAGCTTACATTTTAGTGTGGTAAGAGACAGACGATAAACATTTAAACCAGTAAATAGAAAATAATTATCATATTTTGTTGGGAGCCACTTCCTGCGGGGCTTTTCCGGCTGTGGTAACAAATTTGGATTTTTGTGAGGAGGCTATGGGTATTTTTAAGTACGGGAGTGATCAACCTTAAAAAGCTCACTTTGATTCCTAAGGCTTGGGAGCTGAAGGAGGGAAGTGGGAGTTACTGGGAGGAGCAATCTGCGTTTACCGACACTCAGCATCCTTTTGACCATTGCCATTCAATCCACTTTTTTAAAGTGGCAATGATGCCAAGTTCTTTCACCTACATTATAATCACAAAACTATTCGAGCTCTTTGTATTATTATTATTGGTTTTTGCAGATTAAAAAATTGAAGGTGGGAGAGGTCATTTCACCACTTTCCACCCGGTTTAGCAGTGGTAATGCTGAGATTTGTACCCATCTGTAATTCTGACTCCCAATTTAGTACTATCTATGATATTATAGCCACCTGTCAGTTTGCTGTGCTCTAAGGTCAGATTCATGCCCCATGGTCTTGCCGTGGTTTAGCAGCTACAGAAACCTTCATATGAGGTGAAGACCCTAATTGTGCTAATAGGGCCAAAGAAAAGCCTCTGGCTTCCATTTTGAGCATCATCTTTTCAAAAAGGCAATATTGACATGGTCAAGGTGGCTTTCAAATTCTCTTTATACAGCTTCTGCTAAGGACCTGTTACTGCAAATAACTAACATTGGTTGAGTGCTTTCTATGTGCCAAGCACTGTACTAAACAGCTTTATCTCCATTGTCTTGTTTTCACTTCCACCCTAATAATTGTCTCTCCCCCACTTTACTATAACACTTTTCAGACATACAAAAAAGTTGTAAGACTTGTATAGTGAATAACTGTGTGCTAAATTCTACAATTAACATTTTACTCTGGTGCTTTATCATATATCTGTTCATTTATCAATCCACCAGTCTACTTTTGCATTTCAAAGTAAGTTGCAGACAATAGTACACTTTACCCTTAAACCCTTTAGCATGTGTGCCACTGTTATGAACTTTGTTGTCAGACTAAGAAATTGTGGTTCACAAAGGTTAAGTAGGTCCAAAGTCACTCAGCAGGTAGTGGTAGAGCCAGGATTTAAACCCAACTCTATTAATAATCTAGAATCCATGCTCTTAACTCTGATGCTGTATGCCTCTGTACAACTATGAGCTTCCTGAGGATAGAGACCAGATAATATTACTAAATACTCAGAACCTGACTCATTATAAGGGCTCAATATTTATTGAGTTAATAGGCATCCTACCTCAGCTACCAGATCCTTATATGACTGGTAACATCAGCCTTCTTGCTGTCTGGTGCTTAATATCCTCATCTGAAAAATGAGAGAGTTTGACTAGGTAATCTTTTAAAGGCCCTTCCAGTTTGTACTTTTTAAATTTTAGTATTAACTGAACACACCTCTCTGGAGAGAAGTTGGAGCTTAAACTGAGGAAGATTAAGTGGGAGAGGTCCTAGTGTGTGAATGAGTACATATCCAAGGTTTGGAAAGTCTCTTCTACCTCTTGAGTTTCTCAAAGACTTTCAGTGCTGAGAATTATGACATCACAGGGTTCTATGGAAAGATCATAGTGGTTCTGTTATCTTTTTAGAAATGCAACATCTGAAAAATAGCTTCTAGGCTCTCTTAAGAGCACTGTGCTTTTCCAGCTGAGCCAGAAATGGAATATAGCACATCTACATGCGTTTCTTGAATCCATGGTTTTGAGGGGCTGTCTTAAGTGTGGTACCAAGATACTTTCCGCAGTCCATGGAGAATAGTGGACAGGAGATGAGATGTATTCATAAGACCCTGTCAATAGGGTATAATGTCACTACCCAGAGAGAAGAGCTAAGGCAAGGAATTCGATCTTGAGGATTTGAAGGGCATTCAGTGAACCTTACAATGCCACAGGTTTAACCTCATGTGCAGCGTCCTAGGATAGTTAACTGATAGCCAACTAGTAGTGTATGTCATTGATTCTTAACCCTTAATGGGTTAATTTGGAAATCTGATGAAAGCTATGAATCGAAAAATGCACATGTGAACACGTACCCATAATTTTGTTTCCAGTTTCATTTTCAATTTCAGGAAATGTGTGGGCTCCTGGAGTCTGTGTCTGGTCCCCAGGCTAAAAGTCACTGCTCCCATTTGTACTCCTGTCTATCCACACAGCAGCCATCAAGATCTTTTAAAAGCAAATCATCATAACATGACACATAGCCCAAGGCCTTTTCAGTAGCTTCCCATTACAAGTAGAATAAAATCCAAACTTTAAACTTTGGACTCTAAAATTTTGTTCTGAGTTCTGGCCCCTCATCTTCCCATTTTCCTTATTCATTGTACTTGGCCACTTACCTTTCTGTTCTGTGGGCATGCCAAACTCATTTCTGGATTTTTTAATTTGCTGTTTACTTTGAATGCAACACACTCCTGTCCTGCCCAGAACTTCTCATATCAAATATATTGTCATCAGAGAGCCCTTCCCAGATCACTCTTTCAAGAGTAACCGGTGCACCAGGCACTCGCTGTCGTTACCCTTTTTTTCTTCATGGTAATGATCTTGTACAATGTCTTTGCGATTCTCTCTTCCACTGGAATAGGAGCTCCATGAGCACAAGGCTTTTCTGTCTTGTGCCCCATTGCGTCCAGCACCTAGAACAGTGCCTGGAGTGTATTGGCACTCAGAGTTAGTTGAATGAGTATGTGAATTGTTTGGACCAGAGACTGGACTTTTTCCCCCTGTGATACATTTTAATACTGATTTATTATTTCCATTGTGGTGTCTAGGCATGTGGCGTGATAGTAGAATTAATCAAAAGCAAGAAAATGGCTGGAAGAGCTGTCTTGTTGGCAGGACCTCCTGGAACTGGCAAGGTACTCATTTTCTCTCATTTTTTTAATCTACTCAAGAGAATGATCTTAGTGTCTAAGCCAAATTAATTTTTTGTGTTAACTAGTCTTTGTTTAGCTAAATTGGTTATATGTATGTTTTTAAAACTAATGTGGAATAATACAATTGAGTTTCTAAAATCCAGATTATCCTGGACGACCTCCAGAGAAGAGAGAATGAAGTCTGTGGAGGGGTCTCATTGTCTCTAGAATTTGTCTCGTATCTCTTTTGAGTCTCCTTTGCTTTGGAAATACATTTCTGTTTGCCTAGGACTTCATAAAATCTTCACAGTGACATCTTACTTGAGGAGAGAAGAAAACCAGTCAGCAAGCATTTTTCTGAATGCTAACTTTACCCAGCACTATTCGGGCTGTGTGAGAGATGGGGAGAAAAAGGAAGAATATAGGAATCGGAGACATGATTTTTATCTTCAAGGGGCTTTCAGGGCAGAGAGAGGAAACCATGACAGCACAAAATGCTTTAGTTGAACACTAAGCTGCATGGTATTGATTGATCTTAAATGCAACTGGAAGTTGAGTAGGAGGCAGCACTGGGGGCTGGTAAAGCTAGAAGGGTTGAGTCTTGACATTTGCTCTGCAGAGTGGGGAGAGGATTTGACTTTGCAGGGAAGAAAAGGGCCTTGCAGGCAGAGGAGGCAGTATGGCTTGTTGGGATCAATGAGAAGACTGGCTAGATACTTGAAATGCCCCAGAGTCCCTAGTCTGAGCCCTGCTTCTTTGAAAGGACCACTTGGTATAGGACAGTAGGAGCTTGGGATTGCGTTTATAAAGAAATAAGCTTTACATTCTAGCACTGGTGCTGACTTTCTGTGAGACCCAAAGAAGGTCCCTTAGCCTTTCTAAAGTAGTAGCACATGCCCTGCCTATTTCAGGTAGTTATTAAACTGGTCAGTTGTAAGATAATGACTTTAATTATCATTTGAAATCATAAATTGAATTGACGGTGTATCTTATATTAGTGTCTTATAACAGAGGAAGAAGTGCTGTGTTTGTGAAAAAGTTTTTTTAAACTTAAATGTGCCATATAAATGTGAGCTTCCATTGCCTCTCTGCAAGCAGTATGAGCTTGTCCAGTGTACTTACCATTTATTTGCTTACTACTCCTTCCTACATCTTAGACCCTTACTCTCCATTTTTCTTCTTCCTAAAGTACATCAATTAGAGTTCCTTCTAGAAGTTTATTAGTGGCAAAGTCAGGTTTGTATTTATTATGCTGCCCTTGTTTTGAAAGGAAGTTATGTTGGATGCATAGTTCAGTTGACAGCTATTTTCTCTCAGTACTATTTCTCTCAATGATATGTGCTACTTGTTGGCTTCTTTTTTGCTTTTGAGAACCCTAATTTTGAGGACTTTGGCTTTTCTTTCTGGATGTTTTTGAGATATTTTTGGCTTTTGTATTTCACTATGATATGTCAAAGGTGAATTTATTTTTATTGGGCTTAATATTAATTGTGCTTTCTGAGTCTAAATATTATGTCTCTAATGGGTTCTGACAAATTGTTAGCCTTTATGTCTTCAGATATTGCCTTTCCCTTTTCTCTTAATTATCTCCTAGAAATTCAGCTAGATGCTAAGTTTTACTGCAAAGGTTCTCAACCTGGGGTGGTTTTACCTCCCTCCCCCCAGGGACATTTGGCAATGTCTAGAGACATTTTTGGTTGTCCTAACTTGGTCAGGCGGGGAATGCTACAGGCATCTTGTGGGTCAAGGCCATGGGTACTGCTAAACATCCTACAGTGTGCACAGGATAGTCCCTACAACAAGGAATTATCCAGCCCAAAATGTTAGCAGTGCCAAGATTGGGAAACCCTGGGCTAGAGCTTCTTTTGTCTTCATCCTTCAATCTCTTCTTCATATTTTCTATCTTTTTTACTTTGCTGCATTCTGGGTGATTTCTTTGTTTTTTTTAATCCTCACCTGAAGGTATGTTTTTATTGAGTTTTAGAAGGAGAGGAAAGGAGAGGGAGGGAGGAAAGGAGAGAGAGAGATAGACAGAAACTTGGATGTGAGAGAGACATATTGATCTGTTGCTGCCTGCACATGCCCTACCAGGGATCGAACCCACAACCTGAATATGTGCACCTGTCTGGTGCACAGGACAAGGCTGCAACCAACTGAGCTGCACTGGCCAGAGCCTGGGTGATTGATTTATTTTTTTCCCATTACCAGTTGAGTGATTTCTTTAGACCTCAGTTCCAGTCTAATTGCCTTTTAAGCTATGACTAAGCTGCTGTTTAATCCAATCCATTGAGTATTTTTTCTTTTTCATTTTGAAAGATTTGAAATGTACAAAGGATTTGATAGAATAGTATGATGACCCTCTTTATACCCTACTTATAAATGACTAATTGTAAATATTTGTGTCATTTGCTTTTTCTTTACTTAGTTCTGAACTGTTGGAAAGTAAGTGCAAGGACATTTTTCTACATTACCAGGATACTGTCACCATGCCCAAGAAATATAATGTTGTTAACAGTATTAGCAGATACCTAATTTATGTTAAAATTTCTTCAAATCGTTCCAGTGTTTGGCTGTTTCATTTTTTAATATTTTAAAATTTAGAATATAATCAAAGATCACATATTGCATTCATTGTTATGTCTCTTTTTATCTAGAACAGTTACTCTCCCCAGAATTTTTTTCGTTTATGACACTGACGTTTTTGAAGAGTCCAGGACAGTTAATTTGTGGAATGTCCTACCAGTGTCCTATAGGGATTGTATTATATTAAACACTTTGTATTATATTAAAACACATTGTATATTAAACACTGGCACAACACTACACAGATGATGCTAAGTCCTCCCATTGCTTCACAACATAAGGCTGAGGCCGAATTCCACTGTGAAGGTACTGGTTCCCTTTGTAACTAATGAGTGATCTGTGAAGTGACATATTGAGGTGTTGCGAATAGCCTTTCACCCTGTGGGTCATTGATGGTCATTGTGTATCAGTTATCACATTAGTGGTTGCAAAATGATTTTTTAATTATTATTAAATATATTGGGTCACATTGGTTAATAATAATATATACGTTTCAGGCGTACAGCTTTGTAATATGACTTCTGTATACTCTTGTTTGGCCACCACCTGAAGCCTAGTCTCCTTCTGTAACTATATATTTGAACCCTTTTACCCTCATCATCATCCTCCCACCCCCCTTCCCCTCTGATAACCACCATTCTGTTGTCTGTATCTGTTAGTTTGTTTTTTTGTTTGTTCATTTGTTGCTTTTTATTTTATATCTCGCATATAAGTGAAATCATATGGTTCTTATTTTTTTCCATCTAACTTGTTACACTTAAACATGATATTCTCAAGATCCATCCATGTTGTTGCATATGGCAATATTTCATCTTTTTTATGGCTCAGTAGTATTTCATTGTATATATGTACCATGTCTTCATTCAGTCATTCATTTCCATGTCTTGGCTATTGTGAATAATGCTTCAATGAACATAGGTGTACATATATATCTTTATGAATAAGTGTTTTCAAAATTTTCAAGTAGATACCCAGAAAAGAAATTACTGGGTCATATGGTAGCTCTATTCTTAATTTTTTTAGGAACTGCCATACTGTTTTCTATAGTGGCTGCACCAATTTACATTCTTACCAGCAGTGTATGAGGGTTTCCTTTTCTTCACATCCTCTTCAACATTTGTTATTTCTTGTCTTATTAATAATAGAAATTGGTGATTTTCAAAATGTCATTTTTTCTACATATTTTAACTTGCTTTTTTGTTTGTTTTTGTAAAGATGAAGCACCCTGGCCCCTTCCAAAGTTTTTTTGTTTTTTCTTTTAAATCTGGCTATTTTTTATAACCTCTTGTTCCTTGTTCATGAAACAGTGTATTCCTTTTTCTTTTTTCTTTCGTATCCTATATTTGCTTTTGTAATCATGTTTGATCAATCTGTGAGGCTAATCTCCTAAAGTTAGGACTGAGTGCTTCCTGTGAGGATTTGTGAGAGCTCTGCTATGCTACCAGTCCAGGGCACTTGATGTGAATTTTGTGATGTGGGTTTTCTGGCCATCAGGTAGTGTAAAGACCAATCCTAAATCTGTTTGTGAGCATGCTAGGGAGACTTTCTTTCCTCACCCAGAGCTAAGGCAATACTGACAAGTTTATACCTTGTACCTCAAGATTTTTTTTTTATGGCCCACCTTTTCTGTGTGGCCCTTCAAGGATCCTTTTTATTGAAGGGTTTCTGCCTTAATGCCACACCTTACTGGGTTTCTGGTATCTGCCAACCACCCTTCAAATTCTCAAGGCAACAGAGGTTTACTACTCTGGGTTTATTATTTGTTTATGGTTAGGTGTTTTGTAACAGGAAGGATTTTCAATGGCTCTAGTGTGCCATATTTCTGGAAGCATAAGTCCTTCATTTCTTTTGTAATATTATGCTGTTTTCCTCTTAGGAAATATGAGAAGTTTTCCACACTTACAGGTTTGTCCAATTCCTTTTCATGTGTATGAAGGCATGTGGTAACTCTCCTGCATTATAGTATGCTGATGGGCCCCAAAGTTAAGGCAATTTAACTGAGTGACAGAAAAACAGTGCTTCTTTAGAGATGCAAATACATTGTTCAATATAGATGTTACATATTTGAGGACCTCAACCCATTAATAACGGCTCTTTTTGGGTTTTAGAAAAAGATGTTCAGATGAAATTGAAAATAAAGTAGATTTCTTTAATCTTTTGTCAACCACTTCTTTTATGTGTGCCACTTGCATGGGGGTGGGCACAAAGAAAAAATGTGTTTGACATTGGGGTTTGCATCCTGGCTCTGCTGCTTGGTAACTGTTTGACCTGGGGTGAGTTGGTAACTTCTGAGTTTCAGTTTCTAAATCTATAAAACACCAACTAGATTATCAAGTTCATAGGTTAGTTGGGAAGATTCAATGAGATCTCTCTTGTAAGTGACCTAGCACTATATATAGTAGGTGTAGGTATAGTAGCCATGTCATATACCTGTCTTCTGGGAGCTTTTAAATGGAGGAAACTAGACACACCTGAAACATTTTTTTCTTCACCAAGTACTTATCATATTTTAATGGAAGTATATTAATCATCTCTTCTGCATTAAGTAGAGATAGGGGGATGCCATAAAATCAGATACAGTCACTGTCTTTGAAGTTTGTGACTGAGGGTAAGGGAATCGGGCCTATAGAGATACCTGGATGAGAAAGGAGTGCCTGAGAAGGTGACAGGATTTAGATAGGAGGTGGGCATGGCCAGCCTGTGAATCCCATTGGGAAGCCTGGTGTTAGAGTGCCACTCCTCTCAGTGTGCCCCATCATGCTCAGATGCTTGTTGAGGAAAGATGAAAATGGCATTAAAAGGTCATGGCATTTCTCAGTCCTGTACCATCTTTAAAGGACTGGCTTTTCATACCTGATGTTTGACCATACATCTATTAAGTTGGCTTCTGTTTAGCATTTGACAACTGCAGTCATCTCACCAAAAATCAACTTTTAGTTTTACTAGGGCATGTTCAAGTGTAATGTAAGACCAGTCTATAGCTTCAGAATCCTATCTCTTGTATTCATTATGTGTGGGCACTTAATATAAAGTGAACATCACATAATTTATTGATTTCTGATGGGTTGTCTTCCTGTACCTGTATAAACAAAGACCCAATAGTGGTGTTCTGAGTGATTAGGTCAGGACCCTGTTTTAATAGTGAGGAAACAGTTTTGGAAGACTATACTAATTATAATGGGAATATGATCTCTGTAACCTTGCTGCCAGAGTTTAAGTCTACACTCCTCCATTTTCAAGATTATGGTACCTAGGATGTGTCTCAGTTTCCTCATTTGAAAGTGTTGAGAATAGTAGTATCTAATTCATAGGGTGAGTGGGAGGATCATGTGAAGCACTTAGAGTTGGGACTGCACTGGGTCTCAATGAATGATAACTTGTAATTACAGGGATGATTAAAAATGCCATTTAGATGATAAATCACAGGAGTCATCAAACATTTATTGTGTGAAACATGCCAAATGATGTTAAAACTAAAAGGACTAGGTTTTCATTTGTTCCTGGTTAATAATTTTTTTTATTATGTATGTCTCTGATTGATCATATTTTCAAGAATGTAAAACAAGTACGTTTTCATTGTTTTCTGTAGACAGCTCTAGCTCTGGCTATTGCTCAGGAGCTGGGCAGTAAGGTGCCTTTCTGCCCTATGGTGGGGAGTGAAGTTTATTCTACGGAGATCAAGAAGACAGAAGTGCTGATGGAGAACTTCCGCAGGGCCATTGGTGAGTATCATGTTTGTGGGAGGAGGACTTCTTATTTGCATGGTGCACTGAAGCCTTGTGGTTGTAAAAAAGACTTGATGATTTGTATCTGTTGCACTGCTGTTTTTCTTTTGGCATAATTAGCGTTATTTTGCAAACAAAACAAAAACCCAGCTTTTGTAATTGAGGTGCTTTAACAATCAACAAATGTGGGCCCCCAGCTATGGGGCTGGGGTTCTTAACCTGACAAAATAGATGTGGCTATAAAGCTATTTTTAAGAGACAAGTCAGGCCCTGGCCAGTGTGGCTTAGTTGGTTTAATGTTGTCCTATACACCGAAAGGTTGCTGGTTTGATTGCTGGTCAGGACACATGCCCAGGTTGTGGGTTCAGTCGCCAATTGGAGTGCATATGGTAGGCAACCAGTCGATGTTTCTCTCTCTCCCTCTTCTTTCCTCTCTTTCTAAAAAATCAACATATTTTTTAAAAAGTGCTTTAAAAAAAGAGAAACAAGTCAGATTTTCCTGGCAGCCTTTTTATGCTTTTAGAGATGACTGTCCACTGGAAAGGTTTTGAACTTAAGCCAAAAGCATTGTGTGTCATGCTGCCAGAGGGCCCCTGGTTCTGGATGTTGAGCCAGAAGAACTGTGATCTGTCAGAGAGTGATGATACTGTTTGGTCACTGGCAGAGCTTTGAGGCTGGCAGTGCCAACCTTGTGGGGCTACCATATTGAGTGTTTGTTATGTGCCAGGCCGCTGCATTGATTATAGCTTTTCCCTCCACCAAGAGGAAGCTCTTAGTCTCATTTAGCATCTTATAAAGCAGACTTAGAAAGTTCAATAACTTGTCTAACAGTGACCCAGCTAATAAGTAGCAGAGCTCTAGTTTTAACCTAATTTGTCTGATTCTAGAGCCCATGCTTTGAAGATCTGCTGTGAGGAGAACATGGCCTCTCTCCCGAATGTTTCCCTCTTGCTAGCTAGGACTTGTGGGGCAGGCTCCTAGCCCCATTTCTTCTGTCCTAGCTCTGGGAAAATCTCAGCTTCCCTCACATCTACTTGTAGAAATCGTTTATTCCTTTTAAGCTGTTAAGAAATATTTAAGGTGTCTCTGCACATGTAGGAGTCTGTCTCTAGGATATAATTAGTTACTGAATCATGAGTTATGAACACTTGTCAGTGCCTATACTATTTTCCAGTCTTTTTGATGGTCAAAGGTAAATATTCTGAAGAAGGAAGTTTACTAAAATACTTCAGGGAACCCTGGCTGGCGAGGCTCAGTTGGTTGAGCATCGTCCTGTGCACCAAAAGGTCATTGGTTTGATTGCTGGTCAGAGCACATGCCTAGGTTATGGGTTGGATCCCTGGTCAGGGTGTGTGCAGGAGGCAACTGATTGATGTTTCTCTCTGACATCAGTGTTTCTCTCTTCCTCTCCCTTCCTCTCTCTCTCTAAAGTCAGTAAAACATATTTTTTTAAAAAGTAGAGAAAAATAATTTTAAAAAAAACTTCAAGGAGATTATGAAAGCTTAAGAAAGAATAGATTTATCTAGTTCAGGATCCTTGCCTCAGGACAGTTGAAGTCTAATTTAGGGGTAAGATCCTACAGGGCCTTATGCCTTGGTTAGGGCTTTGACTTTTTTGCTGAGTGAAAGGAGAAGTAACTAGAGAATAGTTTTGATTTTATAAGAATCTCTCTAACTGGGGCATAGAGAGTGGACAGTAAGGAGGGCGAAGGTACAAGTAGGGAGATCATTAGGAGTCTGAGGAAGAGATGGTGATAGTTCGGCCAGGGTGGTGGTGGTAGAGGTGATAAATGGTTGGATTTGGGATATAGTTGAATGATAAAGCTGACAGGATTTCCTGAAGGATTAGGTATTGGGACTGAAAGAAAGAGAGGAAGCAAGGATGTCAGCCTCCTCTACCAGGTTTTGTCATTTTGGGAGATGGGAAGGAGCAGACTGGATAGTCATTAAATGTCTACTAGAGATATAGTGGGCAACAAAGGTTGCCCCAGTTGCTGACACATAGTAGGTGCTCAGTGAAGTTTTTCTGACTGAGAGATGGGGTAGACTTTATTTACTTATTTATTTTTTTAGATATATCTTTATTGATTTCAGAGAGAGGAAAGAAGAGGGAGAGAGAGAGAAAGAAACATCAATGATGAGAGAGTCATTGATCAGCTGCAACCCACAATCCGGGCATGTGCCCTGACCGGGAATCGAACCCCGATCGCCTGGATCCTAGGTCGATGCTCAACTGCTGAGCTATGCGGCGGGGCAACAGGGTAGACTTTAAAGCAGAGAGAAAACAGAAGCCTTTAGCTAAAGTAAGATAGCCCTTGGTCTGTGTCTGGCAGTAGACATATTTTGTTTGATTTACACAGTGTTTTTAAAAATAAAATTTGAATTATGTAGTTGCCAGTATTTAGAGATTGGGAGATGTCATATAAAGTCCTTCTTTCTGGCTTCTTGAAATGAGCTTTCATTTCCACCCAGCAGCAGTCGATCAAAGCAAAGTGAGTGCTCTCCTTTTCAGAGCAGATGCACTCCAGCTTGCCCCAGTCTCCATGAGACTTGCTCTCCTTCTTAATGTTTCTTGCTAGGTCCAGGTAAGCACTAGGGTTTGAGACTCTTGCTTTAGACCAGACACACTGTAAACTGTGTCTCTAGGCTGCTTTGTGTTTCTTGGAATGTGGACCATTGTGTTTTTTTTAATCCTCACCCAAGGATATGTTTTTATTGATTTTAGAGAGAAAGGAAGGGAGGGAG